TATATATATATATATATATATACACTAAAAAGATTTACCTTACTCTATAAGAACTAAAAAAATTTAAAAAAATAAATACATAGATTAAAATGATCAATTTTAAATTATAAGAATTAAAAGGTAAAATTAATAAAACTATATAGACTAAAAAAATATTTTAACTTTATAAGTAACATAACAAATTATCAAGATCGAGAAAAGTAATTAAATATATTTTTTTTATTAATTCTAGCATAATTTCAAATTTCATTCTAAAGATATTATTTATTGTTGTTTACAATTAAAAAAATATAATTTATTATTTATATAATTAGGACCAAAATTATTAATATTTTGGACGTCTGATAATATATATATATATATATATATATATATTTTTTTTTTTCTTTAACATAAAAACAAATTATATAATTACTTTACTGACAACAGTTAATTAGAAATATGTTTTAGCCGTTAACAGCTCTCTTCAGTCTCATCAATTATAATTAACAATGGTTGCAGCATATATTGACTATTGATGTGTCCATGATGAACAACGCTTATAACATGTATCTTAATGTTTCCATTTCATTACTGGCATTAGAATGAGCGTAAATTGGAATAGTATCCAACTTTTGGTCATTCGAACAGCTGATTGTTTTATTTATTTTATATGTTTGTTAGTCATTATCATCTCATGAAACTGATTCTCTAAGTAGCTTAATTAAGAAGGCATCTTCAATCTAAAAATTATTCAATATGGAACATATGCCAATTTCACCAACTAAATGGTTCGCTACAAATACGGAATATACCTAAACCCTACCCCTAAAGTTGGGGAACAAGCCCATGGGCCTCCCTTTTAACCCAAAGTTTGCACGATGATTCTATATTTTAACCCATTTAGAATGTGGGCTTTTTAGTCCGGACCGTTTAACTCGCGATTTAACCACGGATACGCAGACTAGCCCGTAGGATTTTTCACTATTTTTTATATAAAAAATGAACCAATCAATTGTTGACAAATACTTTTATTATTATTTATGTCAACATTTATGTGATGAAAAAAACACTCAAGTATATATGTTGGTTCATAAATGTGCATGGTAACAACATTGTCTTGGTTATTAATTTTGGGACCACTTAATTTTGATAGAGTAATGTTACTATTTAAGAATTAAATTAGTTTATTACAAATGTTTAAATCAAATTAATGAGTGAAATATAAATTTGGACAATTATTTTTTTATATATTTTTAAAATAATGTGGGTTTACAGTTTTACAGAGTTGAATGCAGACCTGAAAAAATTACTCATTTAAAATGTAAACCATTGTAATGGGTTATTTAAATTGAGAGTCTTTGAAGAACAACAATTTATATACTTAACTCTATCTATATTAACTTAATCCCATTGATGGAAAAGTTCCACAATAATTAAAAAAACATATAGTTTATTTTA